CTAGTCTTCAAAACAAACGCGTCAGTTTAAGAGCTCGGAAAATATATTACCCAGGAACAACTGGAATCGAACTCAGTGTTCATTATTTCAGACGGTAAATAGCTTTAGTCACCGTGTGATTTATTTTCTAGTTATCTGTGTACTGAAGTCATTACGCGAAGTCACCTCCTAACATAACTCTGCGAATCAATTTAAATTTGGTGAATTAGGCCAATACATAGTAAATAATGTCTACCATTCTGATACATACATTAAATTTCACAGGTATTATGTTCGCTATATATCCTAAAAGCTCTTCATTCAGTTCAGTCAATAACCATCAGTGTGAACTATTATTTAGCCAAACTAAACCCATTTATCATGGACTGGCATCAATTGGGGAATCATAGAAAACTTAGGAGCACTGAATAGCTGTTTAGTCCTAGTATGAAACCTCTCAACAGTGCGCATCTATAATCGTAACAGAGGTCTAACCGAGGTTCCGAGGCCAGCACGTCACCACTGAGCCTCTGAGTGGAGATCTAATTATCTACAATTTCCACTCCTTTCACTTCATGATATGGCGCGACACAATTCCGTTGTTGACTGCTGGTGGGGTCATGGGTACGCATGCTAAGGAGTCCCATACTAAAACGAAACTGCTTTTTAGTGTTTTCAGGTTTGTAATAGTTCCCCAAATGATGTCATTTCATGATGAATACCAACCTGCAATCAATAAATAAATCCCCAGAAACCTCCAAATAAAACTTATTTATTCCAAATTCTTTTTACAACTTTAACCGTTACCGACATCAATGCATTCTCCCTTTGAAAGTTGTAAGTAAAAGCGATAATAAAAGACGGACAGTAGAGAATTGTTTCAAGCTGCAGAGTAGAATTTGCAACGCAGCACGTAATTATTTACTGCTAATACTACATTATACAAAGTATTTGCTTTCATAGACCTTAGTATTTCAATACACCTGAACATCTAGGTCCGTGTAAATAGTCCTGAAGAATAAAAAGTGGAATGACCACAATGTTTGAAATCCTGTTATTTTATTTATCTATTTGTGTTGTGCGTTTTTTTAATGAGTAATTATGTATTCAGGAAATATGCTTTTATTTCGACCTCGTTCAATTTTTAAATGTCTTTTACGAATAGTTTTTGTCTAAATTATTTTATGAGCTGTGTTTGTAATCTCAATGTGGAATAATGAAATTTCAATCAAGATGAACGAAGAAAAAAGAAACTCCCAATTTTTCAGATTAAACTATTAGAAAAAAACAAGGGATATAAAAGAAATTAAAATCTCAGGAAACAGAAAATATCCTCCTAGTTCACTCTTTATGTCATTTGCGTTTTCATTTTTCTTGTTTCTCTTTTTTCTATGTTAAGCGTGAGCTGTTGTTTCATATAGTGAATGAATACTTAGGTGATTTAGAATGAGAGATAGTTTTAAAAATAACTTTTAAAGAGAAAGGAAATTTTAATTCTTATTGTAATTAGTTTAAAGTAAATATTGTAGCAAACTAGTAAATAATCGAAAAGGAAAATTATAACTGAAAAAGAGAAGGTATTCACTACTTAAAAAGTTAAATATCCTACCAGAAAGTGCAAATATTTACGTAGTTAGATGGTTAACTTTCATAATTAATCTATTTAGTGATACTGATTGGACTTAGATAGCAGTTCAAGCGGCTTTTGGAGTAAAAGCTATGGGCTATGAGTTACTAGTTTCACATCTGGCCGGATTTGTTGACAAGAATGCTTAATTTAGTATCTTGTGCGAAATAAGATTTATGGAAAAGTATTGGTTTGTTTCAGTCTAACTGAGGTTTGGTTGAAGCTTTTCTACTAAAGATGGAGGAAAGTATTCAAATAGATGGTAGTTCATAACTGGTCATGACCTATTATTCCATCTGACTTACGTCTTTAGATGAAACCACTGCTGTAAACCATCATGGAGATCATAGAAGAAATTTTGACGATAAATGAAATCTTTGTAGTCATACAGAGTTGAAGTAAAGTTTTTTTACCCTTATTATGTTATTCAGTGGAGTTTAACTACTCTCTATTGCTATGATAATCTAACTCGGTTGAGCATAGTTCTAAAAAATATGATTTCATTGCTTGAGTTTATCAGTTACAATGATTGACATATAGCCATGATAATTTGAATTGTTCGCTTTCACCAACACAGCCTATACTAGTGCTTATAAGTTTCTGGAAAGACGGACAAGAAAGCTTTAAATATTAAGCAAACTTGAGTAAGTAAAATGTCAGCTGACTTCACTTGATTGAACTGAAATAAGTGCTCAACTTATTGAGTGTAGAGGAAACTTTTTAGAAAAATACTTGTCTTTAGTCATAATAAGCTGATTGCCTGTTTTTTAACACTCCAATGAACTCATGTCCACTATAGGTTTCTGCGTACCAATTAGCTGGCGTTTCACTCAGTTTTTAAGCCTGTAGTTAAATAACGCGTATTTCTAACATTTTGAAAAAATGACTGATTTTAGAAATGACTCTCTTTTAGTTGAGATTTATCATATTAAGCATGACGCTTGCTGAATTTTCTCTGTATAACTACACTAACTTCAGACTCAGTTGATATACCTCTAATTGGTTACTGACAAACAAATATAACAGGAATCATTTAGTACTTATTCCAAATATCCAAAAGATTGTTGACTACTAAATAGAGATGAAGGGAAAATATCATAACTACAAATACGAAGCCTTAAAGTTGTGAAGCTACGAACGATAAAGTTTATCCAAAACGTCGTCCAGTGTGTGACATTCAATTAACATGAGATATAGTTTTTTCAACAATATGAACTAAGGAGTGTCTGGTGTAAAGCATAAAGCATTTTGCTTCGGCAAAACTTTAGAACTATACAAATCTCGGTACAACAGTTTACATACAAGTTGTTAGACTTATATCTCGTATCAATATTTCGCAACGAATAATTCAAAACTTGAAGGAAATTTAACAATTTTCTAAACAATACAATTTGAAACACCTCACTTGTTAGTCATCAGATTGACAGCCCACTAATTCCAATGAATTTTCAAAAATTTGTTTTACATTGTGTCAAATTGATGTAGTTTGAAGAAGAAATAATCAAATTTACTTAGTAGAATACTGGAAATATTCTCTACTGTGAGACTTCTGTACTGTTATAATCCATGAAGTCATCATTTATAACTTTCAAACGGTTGTTAGTTATTCTGTATGGGTAGATACTTGTCAAAATTTCAATAAGAAGTCAAAGTCTATTGAAAAACAACAAACCAGTGGTAGCGTACCACTTAGTGGACTGTCATTCTTTGGACACCATCTTAGCTACTCGACAATAATCTGTGCTCAACGTGAAATCTAAATACCCTTGATCTGACCCTGACAACCAAATCCTTAAAATCAACAACCTGGTTCAGTTTTCACTCAGTCATATTTTCATATAATAACAGGTTCAATTATTTTTTTCAGTAGGTGGATGATAAATGCATAAAAACCTACTTAGGTTAATTAAATATCTCTTTTTCGTTAGATTACCTTAAGGTTATTTCAGTTCAATGTAAAGATAAGATAGATTTCAGGTGAAATTACATTTCTATATTTTTCCATCAAGCCCGCATGTTGCGTAGCAAATCTTCGTTTTCATATAATTCACTCGGTGTGATATTTCTCTTTTGAAAAACTCAGAATGTAAAATTATGCTTGACCTAAACTAAAAATACTGAATGATGTCCTTTCAGTTGAAAGGGATTAGATATAGTAATTTAAAATACCTATTTTTCTTTAAACAACACAATTCATAACGTTTTGACATCACAATTTTGATAAGAAACAGCTGAGAATATCAAAAGCTAATAGTTTCGTAAGAGTACTCATAGCACTGGTTAGTTTTATATAGTTAGATTAAGAGAAGCTGCATTTTCACTACAATCTGTAATCTTATGGCCCTCTTATATTTAAGACATTTTCATGATTGTGCATAAAAGCTCACAGCCTTCCACCACTGGGCAACTTTAAAACACCATCTTAAAGTGCCAAGATGTATCTCCTTTCTTTCCGGCATAAGTAGGCCTTTTCACCTCCGTGTTGATCATTTATCATATCCACAACTTGCTGCTATTCACTATTCTCATCATATGGTAACCATAAAATGTATGACTGACTAAAGTGATAAAGCCCGTTGTATGATTTTAAGTTGACTCATGTACTCATATTCTTACATGTCAATTATTGCTTATTAGTTTATGAAGCCGATTGATCTAAGTGATCTGCTAGATCTCTATTTTTCTGTGTTCATTTATCCTAATTTCTTGAGGGCCTTCTGATTGTTTCAATGAAGAATTGTCATTCAGCCCAGATGAAAAAGCCAGTGTTATCAGCACAAGTTTTCTATTCTAATGTTTAAATAAACAGCAAAACATAACACCGTCGAGTCATCGACGGGGTCTATTTCCTTCGGTTGTGTCAGGAATGTAGTCACACATATGACATTATGCAGAACTCTAGATGCATCTGAATGATGTTGATATTTAGCAACATCACATTTATATTCTGTGTGAAAATGAATGTGACAACAATTCTCGAGATTCAGCATTTACCTGCTTAAACAAAACTACCAGCTATCAATTGGGGAACCAATGGGGGATTGTATGTATCAAATAGCTTTCTAGTTCCAATTCAAAACCTTTGAGTGATTCCCAGTTAGGATAAATCACTTTCATGCAGATGAATCGACATAAAGATGATCACGAGGCTAATTTTCAAAAAGTTATGGGGTTATTGCTTTTTCGATACTCCAATGAAACTATAAATTACATCCATGCATTGTGGCAAGAATTATTCCTAGTCACACAATGTCAAATGCTTAAATTTATTTATAAGTAGCTTTTGAGTGGATAAAAGTTATTTTTATAGGGAGTGTTTAGCATATTGGAAATTTAATACGCTATACATTTACCACCGATGTCAAACATAAATCAGTAAAAAGTTTAAGCTCACCTGCAAAGTCACATAGATGGCAGAAAAACACCCCAGCATGATTTGGTTGCATTGAATTTGTATAGTGTTCGAAATTGGCTAAACTCATTCCTTCATCCGATTCGTCAACAGATGACTGACCGTCACTACTAGCCATAGAATGATCTGTGTAGAATTTAAAAGTAGAATATATAAAAAATAAAGAATGTAATATTTTATGGAAGTAATATTTTTCTCCAGTTTTTCAGGTTTCAAAAATTAACGCAGTAATACAGAATGTTTTATTCTTAACAAATACCTATAATTATCAAATGCACTTATCCACGGTTGACCACTGGATTTCCGATTTAAATTTCCAGGTCAAGTTCTAGTGTAATCTTGATATTTAGTAATTGTACACTCATCTGTGTATAGCATTCTAATTCTGAAAGGGCACTCTAGAATTACTAGTATATATGGAAGCATAATATCAGTCCAGTAAAGTCTCGTATTTGAGGCAATAAGTAGGCCATAACTAATGTATGAAAGCGAAGTCATAATGATTACTTTCCTGGACGTTAACAGATGAAAGTAGGTTTCAAGATTGTCCCATACTGGACGGAAGTCTCTTATATAAAACAGGTACTATTGATTGACGATATTCATCCAGTTACTATCGAATCTCTACCCTGTCAAAGTATAACAGCTGCAGTTTGTTCGTTAAAATAAGTATCTATATTTATTCATAAAAACTATCCCTGCGGAATAACTTAGATGTACGTTTACCCCAAAACCTATTGTGCCACTTCAATAAATTATAAATAAGTATATATATCTAAAGTTTATTGCATTTGTACCATTACTGAACTTGTTGCTTTGTAATATGTTCCACTAATTCATGACACTTTTGTGACAGAGATTACTCCTAGTAATCTTGGCTGGATGGTTTCAAGCCGAAACCCAATCGACACCGCAGTTAGGCAGTTGAAAAACTACTGAGCTGTGAGAAATGTTAAGGTGGAGTGTGTAGTTTGTAAATCGATTACAAATTGGTTATTATATTTCTTGATATCTAATGCACATGTCTATATTCATCTCGAATTGACGATCTGTCAGATAATATAATAGAAATTCAAAAGACAAGTCTATTACAATTTTGTGAAGCTGTACTTTTTGCGTTTAAGCGACAGGATAAATATGAATCATTTTCTAAATCCTATTGATACAACGCTTGTTTTCACATTAAACTTTAAACGGTTTCAGATTTTCTACAAAACAAATTATTTAAGAATGCATCCTCCTTCTGTAAATTTAATCCCACCTTTTTACTTTTCCTGAAAAGTTCTTAAATGCAATAATATTCACTGGGTATAAATGTAATCTGAAAGATATTTAAGTAGGAAAAATAGTCCATCGGTCGAATTTCAAGGTGCTTCAAACGCTGACGCAGATATTGAGATCCTGTATTTCAACCTTTTGATGATTTACATTTATGCCCTTAGGTGTTACAGTGCAGACAATTTTACTAGTTACCTAAGTATTCATAATTTCTTTTGACTAATAAATATCTCTTTCTGTAGGAATGAGCTTCGCAATCTCCAGGACTAAAGCAGCATATATAGGTCTAATGTACTGATGAAACCTACAGAAATCAGCTTCTTCTATAAGAAGAACATTCTACGAAAAGTTATTTCTTGTGCAATCTAGGTATTTCCTACATTTTTTTAACAGTCCATTTTTCATCGTTTGTCTAAAGAATCTCCCAACAGACCTCCAGGTAAAATGTTGGAATTATTATAAGTCAAAAATGTTTAGATTTACATCAGCGTAACTTATGTATAGGAATTTAGACAATTTATTCTCTTAATTTTAATACAAGGTCACTCTTGATGATTGGAAAGAGGAATTGTTTTAATATCTAGAATAGAAACAGAACACTGTATTCTATCAAGAAAATTTCATTAAAATGTAACAACCACAAATATAGTCTAGAAGCTTTCATACCCTTACCCATATGATCGTCTGTAAAAGTGATGGGTGATTGCATAATAGTTGAATTTGCAGCCGTGTATTCCAAGAATGCTTGGTCGTTGATATTTTCTTTCAAGGAACACGAAGTTTTATGTTCTTCTGTTTGGTTAGACTGTTTATAATTGTCAGTTAGTTGACCGTGTTGCGTCCAGTCTGATGTGATGATTGGATTGTTCATCGCACTTTTTGTGTTCGGTGAGTGCTGAGATGGAGAAAGTAATAATGCATTTTGTTTTTGACAGTCAAATCGAATTTTTCGGCAGACGGTGGAGTGCTGTTAGATGATTCCATCGCTCTTTGTGTTTCCGAGCTTATCTCTAATGAGACATGTTCTTCCGCAGTATTCGGAATAGAGGGAAGTAGATAAGAAGAGCCAAGATTTAATTCTGACTGACAGCATGTATATTGACTAAGATTACCTCTGCTTTCGTTGGGACAATCTGTATTATGCTTAGACGGGTTATCATTGCTTATTTCGGTGTAACTTACAGTTTCATCGTTTGTATTTCCTGTATTTGCAATCTTAGAATTATGTATAATGTCCAAATTAGAAATATGAAATCCTGAAGGGCACATGGTGTGTTCAATTGGTTCCTCATGATAAGAACTTTGAGCAGAAGGACAAGCTGCTTGAAACATCTCTTCAGTGCTGAATGATAAAAAAGTACAGTGGAAATGCTTTGACATAAAAAATAATGACTAAATATTACTAATAATAGTAGCATAAAAATAAGAAAGGCTTCATAGCACGAAGCTTATTCGTCAATAGGCAGTATTCATAAATGAATAACCCCCATAGTTGGTAGTAGTTTTCTGTGGATAGTGATGCCTTCCAGATTGTTACCTGTATTTCCTACTTGTAGAACAGAATCAGGTCAAAAAGTACAATGTTCAGTAGCATATAGTTATGAAATTAAATTCTTACACTTATAATCACGGAAATTTTGAACCACAGATGCACCATGTCACGACCCATTCCTTCACAGACGATTATATGCCATTTTACAAAACAGGAATGTCTTCAACATTCAGCTATACAACTCAAATATGTATTGGAAACGTCAGTTTCATATCATAAACCATCTAATTATTGGGACCTCTTTCATCTATCAACGAAAGTTCTTTTTTATAATAAAAAGGATAAGTTTATTTCTTTAATGAGATTTAATGTGTATTCTCAGAGATTTTCCACTGGAAGTTTGAGTAAATCTTTGTTATCAGATTTTAAAATAAAGTAGATTTACTTGCATAATATGCAATTCGATATGGTTGTTATGGGTTACAATTTCAGTTCATATTTTGTGTAGCTCGCTCTTTCTAGAACAGTGGATTGTACTTATCTAGCTTAAGGTAATTCCTTGAATTTCCTAGATATTCGCTTAGTTTTGCAGTAATTCTTATGATTTTTATCAAAGCAAGAAGAAAAAGGTTTGCAGAATAAAATCAGCTCATATTTGTTTCACTTTTTCTCTTCAGCTACAAACAAGCTGGAATGAATGCAGAACCAGCATGGGATAAGGTGAGAAATATACTTTTGTGTTAAAACATAGTAACTATGTAAACCTAGAATTATGGATACAACATGTAAAAGTTCATTTGAAAAGTGTTAACAATGTGAGTAATAGTGATAAAGTTTGCTTATTTATAGGTAATTCCAACAGAGATCAGCGAGTTTTAGTAGTAGTTTAAGTACTAGTAACAATAATAAAATAGTCACTGTCACAGTAATGATGATAATAAGATAATTACTATAAGAAATCTGAGCTGATGAATGTGTTCCTGGGATCTTGTTCCTCTTGCTTCTATGAATGATTATTATTTGGACTATACTGTACATCACACTTTATCATATAGTACTTATGCGTTATGACTGATATATCTAACAGGAAATTTATCCGTGAAACAATGAATCACAAGGCGCAACTTATAATGAGAAAGGATGAATCGTGCTAGCTTTAAAGCTGACAGGATTGTGACCTATTATCCACGGTAATCAAACCCACCCAGTCAAAAACTTATGTTAACCCGCACATACTAAAGAGTATGAATGTGTTTGTAGGAACGTGTTCATAGGCATACAACTAAGAATTCCTACAACACGATGGGACTTTTATACATAATTCCTTAATTTTAGAGTAGTAAACTCAGTTGAGCTTAAAGTTAGTAAGTAAATTTGATCAAGTAGTAAGATAAAAACTCTTCAGTTGTGAGTAAATGGTTTCGACAAGAAACTATCGAAGTTCTAGTGTTAGCTGTTATTCATGGATTCAAAAGAACTGCATGTAAAGGCAGACACTTTCTAATAACACTTAATGATGGTCGTACTGTGCTGCAAATTGTCAGATGTAGGAACATATGAACAGATAGATTCTAGTACAGTGGCTGAATGATAACTTGCTCACCGCTAAAGTTGATGTTTCTGAAACTGGTCTCCAAGTGAGTGACTTCAATGCACTGTTGAGATTTCCTCAACTAGGATGAAACAATTATCCCAGGCATTTATCGACTCTCTAGCTGTTGTCATATATAGTAAAAACTGCTTCTACCTATAAAAGCCAATCGAAACGAACTTCATGAAAGTACGCTTTGTGAATTTTCCTGATACATTTACTCAACTGTCGCTTGTTGGGGTAATTTTAAAACAAAAGGAGGAAATAAACCTTCGCATTACCTCGTTATTCCCAACATTTTTATACCCTGCTGTCATGATGACGTAATACATGCCTTATTTTTTGTTCACGTTTCAAAAAGAACGAATAACAATTCGTAAACGTTAAAAAGTATGGCTAAACTTTCTAAACTATGCTTCACTTAACAAAACAGGTGCGGCAGATGTTCAACTCTGTAGGAGGGAGGGTGTAGTGCTTTTAAGCAAAGTAAATTCACAACACGTGGTCTCCTCCACTTCTTTTAAGCATATATGCAAAAATGGATTAAAAAACAAACAGGGTGAACTTGTCGCTTTTCTACCTATACACAAGATGACATGATTGCATGTACACAAAAGATTGCGTCACCGATTATTACACAGGCTCACGAGGGTGAGTGAATTTTTGATCAGGTCAGGGTAACATAAAACATAACTGCATAAAGTCTTATTGTCTGGGCTGTGCTTATTCACTACATGGGTTCATTTTTTCACTAATGTTGACCTTTCACCCTCATCCAATATAAAATACGTGGAAGGGGTTAATAAATGAAATTAAACAATCTCATATTAATATTTGTCAGCCTAGGGGTAAAATTATTCCCTTATAGTGGGAGGAACAAGATATTTTCGTTATATTCCTTTTATAACTGTTATTTTCTTGGCTAATTTGTGTAGATTGCGTGCAGTAAATAATGTAACCGTAACTTAACCATTTCTTTTCACGGTGGATTTAACTTTCTGTAGACTGTATTGTAACCGCCTTTATTAATTATTCCTTTCAGATGAAAACTTTGAAAAGATTTATTTAGTTGGAATTCTCTATCTTCAGTTATTTTGTGGTGGAACAAAGAAATGAATTTTAAAATAAAGCCTCGTGAAATGATGAGAAAAAAATAAGTGAAAATGCTTAGACTGAATATCGTCAGGATCCTTGACCCTAACAGACTTGGTTTCTTCAAACTTTTGATCCAAGCAGGATGATTCATAACCACCACCATCAATATACCAATATAAAAAGATTTTCTATCAAAAGAGATCCTGAGAGTGCTCATTATAACTAAAAGCTACTCACTAGTATGTATGAAGAATTATCTTCATGATGACATATTATGGCATTCTTGTGATTTTGTAAGTATAGAAATCAGGTACTATGGTAGAGTTTAATTCCATATTAGATTAGTCTGTTTGATATGACCCACAATATAACTGACCATATGAAGCTGCAAACACAATTTATTGCTCATAATCATGTCAAGGGTTTGCAATAGGTTGGTGTCGGTTAGAATGACTGGTTAAAAAACGTTAGGTGTCATTATGGCTATAGTTATTAGAAAGTATCAGTTTAAACAAGTCACAAAACCCGGAAACCAAAGCACATTCGCAGTCAAATGAACATGAGAGAATTACAGTTTTAGTTTTTTAGCGTTACGCAATGAATGGAAATTAGATCACAGCTACCCTTTGTAAGTGAAATTGCAAAGCAATTTCAGCATTGGAAGGGCTAATGAAACATAATCTCAACTAGTTGACTTTTGATTGTCACTTAGATTACGTGACATGATTTTGAAGTTAAAGTGTCCTTCGTTCGATTTGAACCTGCACGCAAGGAGTATCTGGTATTTATGATATCCACTCTTATATACTTGTATCTCAGTTATATAAATCCATTTATAACTAAGAGAATTTAAATCTGGACATTATTCCGCCAGATTTCCAGTTAAACTATACCGTTGATCTAAATAATATTTTTTTAAAACAGTTAACAGATGCACGGTAATCACAATAAGTAAAAAAAACCAAGCACAACAGTGATTTCTCCATTTGAAAAAACGATGACTACAATCATGTTTGTAAAAAATTAAACTCAACACTATATTAAGGTCATAAACATCAGGGATTGTTTTGTCTGACACCACTTAATAATGTGTCATGCCTAGCCTGCATTAACAAAGCTGTAAAAATGTGAAATGGTTTGTTATTAGCTGAAAATTTTGCTTGAGTTTGATATAGTTGTTACCATAGTGAAACAGATTCATATGACTTTGTAAATAAATTATTTTCAAATTATACATGGTTGTTTGTTTACAAAAGTGCACATTGTACATTTATGCACAATTTTAAGTATACCTGTTAAAAAAGTCGCCATTCACGTGTATACTTCAACGGTTTATCCGACATAATTTCATACACATTTAGGAAAAAGAAACAATCCGTAATATGACTAGTTACCATTCTTATTTATCCGTTGTATTAACTGGAATTAGTTATATTCACTGATGATACTTTGATAGTAATAGACATGGAAACATATGTACAATTTTCATTCTGTTGAAAGGTTTTATAAACTGAATAGAAACGCTAAAAATCTATTATCACGCGTATACGCGCAGGTGAATATCTTTCTCGTTTTGTTCTACGGTAACAAAATGTTTCGAATATGTGATTAATTTAAACAAATTTATACACTGTTCATACGCCTCCTTTTCTTAGTTTTACTTTTTCTTTCCGAAAAATATTTGAGACAATAAAAATGAGTCTATAAAATTTCCTCTGCGGGAAAAGCTTGAGTAGGCATTGGATATACGATTAAATATATATTTATATCAAAATGTTTATATTGATATAAAAAATATCACAAACTAACTGACTAACCTAGAAACAGAATTCAGTGATGATGACTATCATGAAAAATTTGAAATAAAATTATTCACTTAGGAAAAACTGTTTACATTTATTGGTAGTACATATATAAACAGATTTAAGACAGGTATATTAAACCATAATTCATATTCTTTTTTGAACCTATTTGAAATAAACAACTTATGATGAAAAAATGTCTTACTATGATTTGAATTACACGGGACACCACTATCAGTAAGTAAAATAACTGAATTGTTTAAAATATTTCGTTTCCAGTGTCACTGATACTTACAGAGTGTTTCATTTTCGCTGTCATCCTAATCACAGTAATAAAGGGAAGATGAAATAAGAGTTTGAAAAGAACTAACACATTGATATATACGCACAAACGAAACGGGCATTTTTTTCAAAGGTCTTGCCCGGAACCACTTGTGCGAAAACATGTATTCTTAACACACTTGTTGACTTATATATATATATATATATATATATATATATATATATATATATATATATATATATATTCCAGCAATGAATGGGTTCAGTTGTAAATTATCGTATTCAACAGTTCGATATGCTTTTCATCGTGGTGTTTTATTTTAGATTGTCCGTAAAGAAGGCCCTCTCAAAAGATGATATTGGAGAAGTTACTCAAAGTTGTGTTGGGTACTTTAGAGAAAATTGTGCTTGAAAAACAGTAGAATCATTGCAACAGAGGATTTAATTAGTGCGGTCTCTGTTTTTGAATCGCTCAATCAGTATCAACACAGGAACTGGAATCACTGCTTAACTGTTCACATTTCCAAATTCCATATCAATGCATCAAGATAAAGGGAAAGATAAAATCAAAGTCCTGGATGGTCGTAACAAGAGAGGAGTAAGTAAAACAAATATCGTCAAGATGAGGTTAGCGTGTAGATGCATCTATACCACTCTAATAAATTCTGGATTATCGATTTCATTTGTCATACGCACATTAACATGAACGTTCACACACCAATAGCCAAAGACTTCATGGACCGAAGCCACGTTATCGTTCAACCATGACTGCCGGTATTCGATATGCTCCCATGTAAGCTTTATGCGACGTGGCTAACATAAGTGGTCATTATTTCGTCCAAACAGCGTATGGAATGAATAATTTTGAGCGCAAATTTAATTAATTTTCTCAGTTATCGTAGTAGTTTTATACTTATTCGAAAGAAATAATAACCACTGTTGTCAGTCAGGCTATACTTAGTTTAAACACCAACATGCCGGATACCAGCAGCCCACATTGACTAAGCATACTTACTTGTCCTAGCCATCTCGGTGGAATAATAGTTTTTGATCGCATCAAGTTACTAACCTCTTTTATCAATGACTTTACGCCTGACCTTTACATTACCGGTGTGGTGTTTCCGGTACTGGTAGTCTGTGTGGTGAGGAAATGCTATTTGCTTTTAGCACTGATACTTTCTAACCCATCTTTCGGATAACGGAAAACAGTATCACCTTGAGATTTTAACACTTGTGGGAGATACTATAATGATAATTGCTTTTGGTCTTACCACCATTCAA